AAATTCGAATGTTGAAGTCCTAATCCCCAGTACCTCAGAATGTGACTATATTTGGAGACAGGGCCTTTGAAGAGGTAAGTTGAATAAATCTGTTAGGATGGGCCTTAATCCAGGATGACTTGTGTCCCCGTAGGAAGAGGCGGTAAGGACACGTGACAGCCATCAGGGAAAGAGTGTACAGAGAAAAGCAGAGAAGTCTCAGAAGAGACTAGCCCTGCCAGCACCTTAGTCCTGGGATTACAGCCTCTAGAACTGTGAGAAAGTTAATATCTTGTTTAAGTCACCAGTCTGTGGTATTTAGTGCTGGCAGCCCAAGCAAGCCCATACTGGGCGGATCCTCCATGCCCCGGGCAAATGTTTGCTCAGCTCCCACCTGTTCTCAGGCACTGTGATGGTGAGGATCTAGAGGCAAAAAAAGCTGGGGAGCTGGGAGGCATTAATTATGGCAGAAATAGGCGGCACCTGTGGCTCAGTGGGCAGGGTGCCAGGCCCATATACCAAGGGTGGTGGGTTCAAACCCGGCCCCAGCCAAACTGCAACAAAAAATAGCTGGATGTTGTGGTGGGCACCTGCTACTTGGGATGCTGAGATAAGAGAATCACCTAAGCCCAGGAGTTGAAGGTTGCTGTGAGCTGTGACACCACTGCACTCTACCAAAGGCGACAAAGTGAGACACTGTCTCTAAAAAACAGAATTATGGCAAAACTGTAGCCTCCCAGAGTCCCAGCCAGGCTCTGCCTGCCCGCCTGCATTTCCCTTCCCTCCAGGCTTCTTCCTCTCCCTTCCCTTCCCCAACCCTTCCCTTCCCTCCCTCTCCTTCTCTCTCTCTTTCTTTTTTGGGACAGTGTCTCACTCTGTCACCCTCAGTAGAATGCTGTGGCATCATACCTCACAGCAATTTCAAATTCTTGGGCTCAAGAGATCCTCTTGTCTCATCCTCCTGAGAAGCTGGAACTGCAGGTGCCTACTGAGCTCTTTTTCTCCTAGAGACAGGGCCTTGCTTTTCTCAGGCTGGTCTCAAACTGCTGAGCTCAGGCAATCTACCCACCAGAGCCTCCCAGAGTGCTAGGATTACAGGCATGAGCTGCCACACCTGGTCTCTATCCCCTCCCTCCCTCCCTCCCTCCCTCCCTTCCTTCCTTCCCTTTCCTTCTTTTCCTTTTTTCCTTCCTTTCTTTCCTTCTTTCCCTTCCCCTCCTTCCCTCCCTTCCTTCTTTCCTTTCTTCTTTCCCTCTCTCTCTCTCTCCCACTCTCATTCTTTTCTTTCTCTTTCCTTCTAACTCCTGGTATACAGTCTATGCATTGCCTAACAATGGAATTAGGTTCTGGGAAATGTGTCAGTAGTTGACTTTGTCATTAAGCAGATGAACTAGAGTGCACTTGCACATGCCGCACACCTAGGCTGTGTGGGACGGCCTGCTGCTCTTAAACTACAAACCTGTACAGCATGCTACTGTATGGAATACTGTAGCCAATTGTTACACAATGGTAAACATGTGTGGATCCGAACATGTCTGCACAGAAAAGGTGCAGTAGAAATACAGTGTAAAAACAAACAAAAAAAAGGTACATCTGTCTAGGGCACTTATCATGAATGGAACTTGCAGGATGGGAAGTGGCTCTGAGTGAATTAGGATGTGAGTGGTAAGTAAATGTGAGTGACTAGGGCTTTACTGTGTACCAGTGTAGACTTCATAGACACTCTACGCCTGGGCTGCACTAAACTTTTTTTTAAATTTCAGATTAATATAAGGGTACATATGATTAGGTCACATTGTTTGCATTTGTTAGGTAAAGTCTAAGTTGTAGTTGAGCCGTTCACCCAGGAGAAAGCACATCATATCTCTTCCCTCTTCCCCATCCCCCCACTAAACTTATTTTTAAAAAGGCTTTTCTCATCCAGGCGTGGTGGCTCACACCTATAATCCTAGCACTCCTGAGAGGTTGAGAAGGAGGATTACTTGAGGCCAGGAGTTAAAGACCAGCCTTAGCAAGAGCAAAAACCATCTCTACTAAAAATAGAAAAAAATTAGCCAGGTGTGATGGCCCAGGCCCATAGTCCCAGCTACTTGGAAGGGTAAGGCAAGAGGATTGCTTGAGCCCTGGAGGTTGAGGTTGCCGTGAGCTAGGCTCATGCCTTGGTACTCTAGCTCAGGCAACTGAGCAGGATTCTGTCTCAAAAAAATAAGAAAAGGCTTTCTTTCAATAATCAATTATAAACCAGACACAGAAAGAAAAGTACTGCATGATTTCACTTGTATGTGAAGTTAAAAAAAAAAAAAAAAAAAGGACTCACAGGGTGGGCTCAATCCAGACGGTAACAAACAACCCCTAGCCATAACCCCAAGTGGGGCATATAATCCGTCATAACTACTCAGCATTGCTGTTAAAACACCAATGCAGTTGTCTAAACAAAGGACATGGCTATTTCCAAAAAAAACCTTTATTTATGAAAATAGATGATAAGCTGGATTTGGCCAGGAGACTTACTTTGCTGACTTTTGGTATAGGCAATATGGTTCAGTAAGGGGACACAAGTTTAAATTTGTAAGAAATGCATCTTCATTCACTCCTGCCATTGTATTTCTGTGATTGATTGTATAACCTCATTGAGAAATACAGTCTTATCATGTTGTGCCCAGGAGTTCCACAAAGACCACACTGCCAAATAAGCCAAATTCACAGCAGAGTCCTTTTATTGAAGAGCCAGCTGGCAACTGCCTCAGTGTCCCAACATGAGGTTTCTGAAAGCAGCCCTGAGTGCTTAAGGGATCACGTTTTTAAGGCTTGGTCTGCATCCTGGTTGGCACGTAGGCTGTCCAGGTATATCTAGGTAGGGTAGCAAGCAAGCATGTACAGAAGCAGAATTTTGTGGTTAGTTAGCCATATGTTGTACTTCTTTGTTTTAATGTTTTAATATTTTAATATTTTCCCCACCTGGTATTTCTTTTCTTCTTCTTTTTTTTTTTTTTTTTGCAGTTTTTGGCCAGGGCTGGGTTTGAACCCACCACCAGTAGCATATGGGGCCAGGGCCCTACTCCTTTGAGCCACAGGCACTGCCCCATCACCTGGTATTTCTCAAAGGTCAGTCTGGAGATAGTTGGTACTTCCCTGCTTCTCAGGGGAGTTAGTCAAGCAAGAAGTTAGTGAGTACTTTCCCATCTATATTGGGAATGAACAAGACTTAATTTTGTTGAGGGCTTGCAGCCCAGAAATTTTCCAGGAGTTAACTGGTACTTTTCTATTTTAGTATAGGCCTAACAATTAAAAGATCAATCGGAGGCTCTTTCTGAATGGAAAGCTTAGGCCAAAAGATCATAATTCTGTCCTCACATTGTGCTAAGTCCTGCAAGTTTGTTCCATGTACAGTTTGGTTAAGTCAGTTGCATAGACTCTAGCAAGTTATTATGCTTCTTTCCTCATCTCTGAAATGGGGACAATAATTTCATGAAGTAACATCATCTATAGTGAGATCAGTAAGCCAGGCATGCACAACTAGAGGGCTTGCATGAAAGGGGATGGAGGCAATGTGACAGTTCAGCTAGAGTCTAGTGACTAGAGTAATCTTAAAAGTTTAAAAGTTCATAGTCACACACGGACAGTTTGAGAACCTGCTCAGGGACTTAAGGGTGAGGTAATTTGTCCTTGGCAGAGTACATGATTTGTTTCAAAATCACTTTTGCTTTTAAAATATCTATTTCAGATGCATTGTGGCCAGCAAATTTGGAGATGTGGAGTTGTCTGTTTTCTAGGGGTGTAAACATGTAATATCTTAGATCCAATGGAAACAAAAGCATCCCTATCCTGATCTCTTAAATAATGTTTTCCTATTATGACCATAGTTTTTATTTTGAATTTACTTATGGGGATGGTGGTGTCATAATCTTTACAGTAAGCCCTCTAAGGGTATGAAGTAGATCTACAGAGTTTGCCTTACCCTTAATGGTATGGTTACTTCAAGTACAAAACATGTTTTCACAGAGCAGTTGGTAATCTTTCACAGAGTCCATTTCATATTTCAATGGAGCTTCCAGGTAAATTATCTCCCCCCTTTAATGACGTTCCCTCTCTGTATTTCTAGTAGCACTAACTGAGATCTCTCTGAGGGAGGAATCCTTATTAGCCACACAAGGGTGTAGCAGGTCTCCTTTGCTTTTCAAAGGACTAGTATTGAAACATCTACCTTTGTGGCAACCTCGGTCAGTGTACATTTTATGTGGTTTGAATCATTTTCTCTTTGACTTGCTATCATTTGTTGAGCCCCTCTTCTGTGCCAGTGTCACTCAAAGCAATGTCAATATATTATTAGGTGGTTTAATTCTAGAAACTTTCTGAAGTAGGTACCATTATTACTCCTGTTTTACAGATAGAGGAACTGAGTCTTAAAGCGGTCGAGATCACTCAGCTAATATATGACTCAAGCCTCTCTTGCTCCAGAGCTTGTTCTCTTAACCTAGAGGTTAAGAATAGTTAGATTCTTTCTTTTCTTTCCACACGCCAGTAAAAATGATCATTTGAAACATGCATTCATGCAAATTACAATAGAAATAAAATTAATTAAAGCTTGTATGCTAACAATCAACATAATTTATCTCCTCACATTTAATCCTCCCAAGTACAAACTTAAGCTCTGAACGGTTAACTTTGCCTAAGGGCACTACTCTTAGGGTGGAGACAACATTGGTAACCTCCCAGCACAACTCTCAACTCCCAAGTAACAGCTCTTTAACCAGTATTGTTTTATCTGGGACTATATTCCCGGAAGTCCCGCCCCAGGGGAAGGGCGGTACCGGAAAAAGTTGAAGCGGGGAAAGCCGGAAAGGGACAAGGGGCGTGCTTGCTGTGGCGCTCTAGCATTCCTCTACTCTATAGCCACTGCCAATTGACAGGTCCCAAGCGGAAAGACTCCTGTTTATTGGATAAGCAGCCTCGTGTAGGTGGGCCTCTCAGTTTTCGGCAAGCTGATTGGCTGGATCCGCAATGCGGACTGGAGGGGCGGTTCTTAGGGCACGCGGACGGAGGTGACCCGCTGCTTTCTTGCTCCAGGCGGAGACGGGCGCATGTGGGCTCTTCGCTCGCTGCTGTGGTCCGTGGCGGGGCGCACGATGTCACAGGGACCCGTCCGCCGCCAGCGGCCGCCCAAGGACCCGCTGAGGCACCTGCGCACGCGGGAAACGCGAGAGAAGCGCGGTCAGTTGGGGATCCCCGGGGGCCCAAACACCGTGTACCTCCAGGTGGTGGCGTCCGGCGGCCGGGATGTGGGCGCAGCGCTCTACGTCTTCTCCGAGTACAACCGGTCAGTGCGCCCGCGCCGGGACTCTGACGGGGCCTGTGCGGCGTCCCCTGACCAAGCCCCGCCCTGCTGTGCACTCCGTGCTGTCCAGTACCAGAGCATCGCGGCTCCTCCTCAGTTTCCGTTTCCCTTGCTTTATTGTGTGGGATTTCACTATTGCAGCGGTTTTTGGCGTTTGGTGGGTGGGAAATTCTAGATTATTTACTTGCTTTCGTCCATATGATTTCCGGCGATCAGTGAAGAACTTCAAACTTGGGTCTGAGCGTCCTCTTCCCAACCCGTGGGCCCTGGGCTGTCTCTTTGCGTGCTCTAACCCGTATCTACTTATGTGCACCCCAAGGCCAGGGGCTGTTAGTTAGCATATGGGGTGGACAAGTTTGGTGAGGGGCTGATGGGAGGGGAGGAAGACCCATCTTGTCCCAGCAGAAGTCCACACAAGCCTCCACTCTTCTCCTCCCCTTCTAAGAAGGGTTCAGAACCTGTCATCCTAATAGAAACGTGGCCAGGCAGCACATGGATTTGTAACGTTTGTTCATTCCGGACCCTACAATAGCGCATCTAATCCATGTCAGGGATTTTACAGACTAGAGTCTTTTTGAGTCTCTTGTGCAATGTTTGTCTTGTAGGTATCTCTTCAACTGTGGAGAAGGCGTCCAACGACTCATGCAGGAACACAAGTGAGTCAGTCATTTGCTTTTGGGATGGGTGGAGATGATTGTGGGGCTCATGCTTGTAATCCTAGCACTCTGGGAGGCAGAGGCTGGTAGATTGCTTGAGCTCAGGAGTTTGAGACCAGCCTGTGTAACAGCAAGACCCCATCTCTACTAAAAATAGAAAAAGAAAAAGCAAGCTAGGCATTGTGGTGGGTGCCTGTAGTCCCAGCTGCTCAGGAGGCTGAGGCAAGAGGGTCACTTGAAACCAGGAGTTTGAGGATGCCAGAGCATCTACCCAGAGCAACTAGTAAGACTGTCCCCCCCCCCAAAAAAAAAACCCCGCTGAGAGGCTGGTGTGTGTTTACAGCAGAAGATGTGATCCTTGGTCAGTGCATTTTATCCTGCTCAAATGTTTTTCTTAGGTTGAAGGTTGCTCGCCTGGACAACATATTCCTGACACGAATGCACTGGTCTAATGTTGGGGGGTTGTCCGGTGAGTACATTCTCTGCAGGGTCAGAGCCTGATGGGAAGTCTGGGGTTTTAAGCTGGTTCACCTTTGCTTTCATCTTCTGAGTCCAGTGGAGCTGGTATCTTCTTGTACCAGCTCAGTGTTACCACCTACTTGGCTTCTTGGGTTGCTGGGCCAGAGTTTTATGGCATAAAACTGGAAAGTTTAGCAGAGGTAATTATAGTAGGTAATTACCATGGGAGTTACTGGCAGGTACACACCAATACCAACTATCCAGAGTATCCCATCATTCATGTTCATCAGCTGGGAAGATCAAGATTGTGTTGTAGACAAATTCTGTAAGCTTGGTGATGTGGATGGGATGGAGGAGAATGGACCAGTCTCCCTGTTCCCAGGGCTGAGGCAGGTGAGGCACCTAAGGTCCATTTTTAAAGGCTATCCTTAAATTTGCATGACTCTGAGAATGAGTACCTCTTTAAATTGTGCCCACTGGGTGCCTCACTGCCTCACCCTACTGTTAGCTTAGCCCATTCTAGAGGCATTTGAGAGTATTAGGCATCCCTTTATATCTCTGCCTAGCTTTACTTCTGCCCTGCACATGTTCCCTGGAGACTGTTTAGAAGCTAGAATGAGGACATGTAAATAAATAGATAAGCACAGGCTGCTCCTCACCCCCGGCAATGACTACAGGTCAAGTTGACGAGAGATCTGATTTTGTTCATCCTTTTTAGGAATGATTCTTACGTTAAAGGAAACCGGGCTTCCAAAGTGTGTACTTTCTGGACCTCCACAACTGGTGAGTCTCTCCTGACTCACCTTTCAAAACCAATCCCTTTTTTTTTTAAGGTTAAAAATTTCGCTCTCTTTTATTTTTTTTTGGAGAGACAGAGTTTTATTTTATTGTCCTCAGTAGAGTGCCGTGGCGTCACAGCACACAGCAACCTCCAACTCCTGGGCTTAGGCGATTCTCTTGCCTCAGCCTCCTGAGTAGCTGGGAGTACAGGCACCCACCACAACGCCCGGCTATTTTTTTGTTGCAGTTTGGCCAGGGCTGGGTTTGAACCCACCCCTCCCTGTATATGGGGCCAGCGCCCTACCCACTGAGCCACAGGCGCCACCCCAAAATTTCTCATTTTTGCAAATTGGTCTTTTGCTCTCCAGAGTAAGCACTTTACCTTTCAAGTAAAATAGTCTTTTGAGTTCAAAGCCTAATTAAGTATGTGACCCTGGATGAGTTAAATTCCCTTTCTGAGCCTCAGTTTCTTCATCTATAAAATGGCTATAATGTTTCATAGAGGATATATCAAAGATTAAATAACACATATAAAGCACTAAGTCATTTTATTAGATGTTTGGCACCAAGTGGATCTGCAGTAAATGGTAGCTTTTGTTTTTACTCATGTATCAAAGTTAAGACATCCTTTTACTTTCCAAACCAGCTTATTACACTGTAGAGAAGTGTGCACATTGTTAAAACTATGGAATGTAGCCTTCATTTACCAGTTCTTAAGAAGAAAGGCAACCAGTCACTAAAAAGCTGTGCATTCCATCCCCAGAATAATACTGGAAATTCATTGATTTGTTCACATCTCATTAAGGCCTTCATTATTTCTGCCTTCTATACCTGTGTGCTTCAGTAGCCTCCCAAATCTTTTCCTGCCTTTCTGTAATCCGTCCTCCAGCCACAGAGATCACTATTAAAACAGAAATGTGTCATTTCTCAACCTTCTTCAAGGATTCCCCATTATAATACACTCCAAGTACCATAATATGGCCTATAAGACCTGTAAGCCCTGGCCCCTGCCTACACTTCCATCTGTAGCTGGTCTTCCCACCCCTTTGCCCAGCTGAAGCCCATGTACACCACATGGCTTTCATGCGTGCACAAGTTCCCTTTGTCTCTTCTCATCCCTGCCCGTGTCATTACTGAACATTCAGAGCTTAGCCAGCAGCTCATTTACTTCAGAGTACTAGTATTGTATTTCTGGGTGCATACCGGCCCTTAATTGTTGAGATATAGATTCTGTGGTCTTATAATCCTGTTTCACTTGGACCTCTTAAATTTTGAGTATTAGTTCATTTTTAGTCTCTGGACAAATTGGATCTTAGCTTTCTCCATTTTGTGTTTTTCATGCAGAATATTGATCATCTTTGCTACAAACTTGTCTATATCATCATTTGTTTCATGTTTATCATCTCCACTGGGTTTATGAGAGCAAGGAATCTCTCTCTTTTTCACTGCTGAATTCTTGGTATCTAACATAGGGGGCATTTAGTAAATATTTGTTTAAATGAGGTGCAGAATACTTATTAAAGTTTCCTTTATGTTGTTACCCATTGATACTTTTTATAAACTTGAGTACTTTGTTGTGTTCTGTATTTATTTAACCATAATTGTTCACATCTTTGTTTTTATCTTCTTTAGGAAAAGTATATAGAAGCAATCAAAATATTTTCTGGTCCATTGAAAGGAATAAACCTGGGTATGTCTTTGACTATGACTCGTTATCTACTATTTCTTACTCATTTATGCCCTGACCTCTCAAATTAGAGTCCATTAAAAACATCTCTGCTGGAGTAGAGATTAGACCCCACCCCCCCCCGAAAAAATAGAAATTAAACCTTAAAATCTAATGTTTCATCAACCTGAGATGGATTTTTAAAATACCACCTATGGTGTTTTGTATGCTCCCACTTCATGCTATAAAAATACAGCCAGGTAGTTAGGAGTGATTTAAAAGCTGATGTCTACCCACATACATTCTGTGTCACAGTCTGCATCCACACACCAAGGCTCCTTCCTGAGTCCTGGAGGTGCTTCCCATTGTCAGATTGCCTTGAATTCCTTGCAAGAAGAAGCGAGGGTTTGAGCTGGGAACCCTGGGGCTGCTGCACACTGGGATTTATGGTCCCATTGTTACACACTCCTTCAAGCCAGCCAGTTTTGTGGCTGTCTGTACATTAAACCTCATCTCCATCTAGCTGTGGCAGGAGGCTCACAGGCTCCTGCTGGGAAGTTGCCTCCTTGAGCATGGCAACAGACAGTGTTGAGTTTGTACCCTGGTCCTGGTCCCTCGTTCATCTTTGCATTATTAATACTCCTCTTTTGTAAATAAACTAGTATTTTGTTTCTGGCTGCATGCCACCCCTTAATGATTGTGACAATAGATTTCTCTGGCCTTACAGTCCTATGTAACTTGGACTTCTTAAATTTGAGTATTAGTTTCTTTTTAAATAATTTTTTTTTTTTTTTTTTTTTTTTGAGACAGAGTCTCAC